CCAGCACTCTCTCCTGCCTATGCAGGCGGTCGGACTCGGTGATCTATTGAGGTCCCTTCCGACCCTAACATCTATGAGTAAAAGGTGTCCTTATTCTAGTGGCTTGCTGTTGGAGATGGGTGGGCAGGTTAGTGTAAATCTTCATGAAGTTTCCTCTTGCCATATGAAAATTCTTCTGCCACTGATTGTCATCCCAGGTAGCTGAGAGTCTGCTCACGCCACTCTCTGCTAGTCTCCCTAGCCCTGCTCAGTGGTTTGACACCACCCTACCCCCACATTAGCCTAGGGACATTGTGCTGACATGTAGCCTGCATGCATTCAGGATATGAGCACAGAGGGAGAGCTGGACATAGTCATGGGACTCCCAGTGATGGGTGCCAAGCCAAGTGCATGAGCTTCTGTCCTGCTCATTGTCTTTCCTTGGTCTTTGCTCACATGCCCAATGCCAAGTTGGCGATTGTGTCCCCCCAGCGGGGTGCCTAGCTGGGGCAGGGCACAGGATAGATCCGTGGCTTGTGGGGGAAGGGGGTGTGTGGCTCCTGTTGCTGCATGAACCCTGGGAGGGCATGGGGGTGCCCCTGGATCTGTGCGCAGAGCTGGGGAGGGCCGGTTGCCACTGTGGGCTGGGGCTGGAGTTGCACTGGGCTGCGCTCAGGGTGGGTCTTGCCTTACCAACCTCATCTTCTATGACCAGGTAACTTCCCACCTGAACACGAGAGAGCAGGTTGACACTGTATATCTAGACTTTGAAAAGACCTTTGATCTAGTGTCCCACGATATCCTTGTGAGAAAATTGGAGAGTTGTGGGGCTTAACTCCGAGACAGTCAGGTGAGTGAGAAACTGGCTGAGGATAGAACCCAGAGAGTTGTACTGAACGGATCTGTGTTATCCTGGCAAGAAGCGGGCAGCGGTGTCCCACAGGGTTGGTGCTTGGTCTAGTACTTTTCAACATCTTTATTAATGATTTGGATGTGGGGGTAAAGAACTCACTGGCCAAGTTCGCGGACAACACCAAGTTACGGGGAAGCATGGTCATGCTTGAAGATATGCTACAGATACAGGTGGACCTACACAGGCTAGTAAGGTGCATAGATCAGAATCTGATTAAGTTCAGTGTTGAGAAATGTAAAGTGCTCCACCTCAGGACGAGCACCCTCCAACACACCTACAGGCTTGGTGGCACCAAACTGACTAGCGCCATGAATGAATGGAACCTGGGGGTAATAATAGACCACAGTATGAATATAAGCCGGCAGTGCGATGCTGTAGCCAGTAGGGCAAATAATACTCTGGCATGCATCAATTGATGCATCTCCAGCAAAACCAAGGAGGTAAGTCTTCTGCTCTACTCAGCACTACTGAGACCAGAGCACTGGTGAGACCTGACCCCTAATTATCTTTCCTGCTTGGTGTGGGGGGCTGGACCCGATGATCTTCCAAGGTCCCTTCTTGCCTTACAATCTATGAATCTTAGAGCCCTGGTCTCAGCCTGCAGCAGCAGCTCGCCACTCCCTGCCCTTCCCTGTACACAGATCTGGGGGCACCCCCCACCATGCTCTCCTGGGCTGTGCACAGCGGTAGGAGCTGCCCACCCTCCCTGCACTCTCCAGACAAGCTGCAGCTCTGTTCTGCACCCTGCCCTGCCCCAGCTGGACAGTGCTTGCCCCAGCCCTACTCCCTCCTTCACCACAGGGGCCTTGATCTGCCTCCCATCCCCCATGTGCCTTCCCTCCCCCCTCCTCTTCCACCACAACAGACTTACCAGCCAGACACTGCTCTTCAAGCTGCTGGGCTGCATCTTGGAAATCAGTTGGCAATTTTGCAAGGTGATAATGTTGCCAGGTCAAATATGAAATTATCATATTGGAAGCTCAAATTATCGTATTTTCTGAAAAACTATCATACGTTGGGGAAAAAAGTATGCAAATGTAGTCTTTTTTTTTTTTTTTTTTTTTTTTTAAGTAACATCATCACATGCTGTGTCACTCCACTTGACACTGCTCACTATGAAGTTTTGTTTAACACTTTATCCGACTGGTTAAACTGAATTTATTACTATGATTATTCTTTTATCTTTGTTTTGTGGTGTAGGTCTGCATATTATAAATCTTCTATACTTTATTTTGCAACTTGCTGTATTAGGTATGTGCCTGGAATTTACAAGCAAGGCAGGTACAAAACCGCTTTGACTTTCTGTTGATTTAAGACTTTTAGCATGTAAAATAAAGCTCTTAGTATTATTGCACATTGAGATTTGGTTATGTGATCATTATGCAGTTACATTATATTGCTCATTGTAAGTCTCCAGTTAAAGATAAATGGCAAGTATTATTCACCCTTACTTGAGTTCCTGTCAAATTCCAATCCAATGCAAGTGAGAACTGGGTTAAATGACACAAAAAAAAATAATAGATTTTGAGGACTTTTAGTATCATCTATCGTACAAATACGATAATTATCATACACCTGGCAATGCTGGAGCCAATTGCAGTGTCCACCACCATTTTCATGGTGAGGCTTTGCCACACTGCTGATTGGCTGAGAAGGGCGGGGCGGTGTAATGCTTAATCAGCAGTGAAGGGAAGAAGGGGGAGGTGCCATGTTGGCTCCCTTTCTGTGTGGCAGCAGCTGTGAGAGCTGCTTGCTCTCACTGGGGAGTCAGCATTTTATTTCCAGTCAGTTTTTGGCAGAAACTGCCTCAGATCATGCTGTAAGTAGGTCCCTAGTTATGAAATCCATAAAGCAGTGTTTAAAGCAAAGGTAAGCTCCAGCTGAGTGTAACCATTGGCTGATAATCTTCCTGCACACTGGTTTGCCCATCTGCCATAGGGACACGTTAATTAGGTTATTCCTCCACTTGAAATAAGCCTTTTCACACTGGTGGTGTGGTCCCTTAATCCTGTAAATACAATATGTGGATTCACCATCTCATTTCATCATCCTAATGTGGCCTGTGCTAGAGCAGCTCTGCTCAGGCCCCAGCAAGGGAGGCAGGAAGTGGAAGATGGAGGAGGGGAGGGGAGGGGAGCCCAGAGATCTGATCAGCTCCCCAATGGTACCAGGGAGTGGCCTGGTGGGGGGGAGTCTTCAGCCTGTGGTTCACAAGTTAACCCCTTGCAAGCTGCATGCAGTTGAACAGTCCTGTATTAGAGGATAAAAGTGGATTTCTGTGCCCGGTGTGTCTGAAGTTAAACTTCCAATTTTGCTGTTTTTCTGTCACCCAAGACAATGTTTAATGTTTTCTTATACACTGCCACCAGTAGAAGTATTCTTGCATTTCCTAGCAGGAGATTTGCTGTGCTGCACAGTGAAGGCTGAATGTGGATCCACTTGAAACTGTTCTACCCTGAGGACCATTTGGATGTATTGTGTGTGGCTTCTTTCAAAAAACAAAAATTGATTGCTGCATCAGAGAAATGGCAGACAGCCCGCCCCTCCCCCCCCC